AATCATTGTTATGTGACTTATGTCTCCTTTATATGAAAATCATATGGGTTACATGAGTCTTCAGTATATTATTTCACACTGAAGGTACTTCACACTAAAGGTATAATTTATAGAATTCCACCTTTATAATGACAGTTGGATTTCTTAGTTCAAGAAAGGGCCTTGGAAACCACCTTTTCCCCTAAGCACGGAATGTTCTACTTTTGAGTTTCAGGAAATTGCGAGAATTTTGAAATGAATTTCAATGTAGGTTGCCATTTTTCATTTGTCAGCTAAAAGAAGCAGAAAGATATAAAGCGGAAATGAAGAAATTGTCTTTGAGCTTATATTTCTTGATTTAGTGGAGGACAATTATATTGCTATAAATTATTTAGAGAAATTGCCTTCAGCTTATGCCTTGTGTAAGGTTACCATTTTGGAGTTTGACAACACATTCCGTGTCGTTTTAACTTTTGTAATATAAGTCCCCAGCTATTTATATTTGAGATATTTACACATACCAATAATTTAGTCATTTAGGACTCTTGATTATGGATAAAAGTAAAAGATAATTATTTTAGAGTAAAAAGAAAACTCTTTGCTTATATTAGCCTGTTGGTAAAGGAAAACCATATGTTAGCGTACTTAAAGTATATCTTTCTGGTGCTCCATAGAGCATTGTAGCAATTCCGTGATTTTTGATAACTAGGTACACTTGTATTTGCTTAGAATTTAAGTAAAATCTGCTCATTTTAACTTCTCTTGCATGATATGAAATTGCACCGATTCAGTTTATGTTAATAAACAGGGGTCTCTTCTTTTATATGCAGATATAGTCGCCACGATAAACGTTCCAAACTGCCTGGATGGATATTGTCGCATTTGCATGATGCACACCTTAATCTGAGCACAGATATGGCATTGCATATAGCTCGTGAGGTGGGTGCCATGCTCATCTTTCTCACTAATTTTAACAACCATACAGCTTTTTATGGTTTGCTGAGTGAAAGATTTATTAGTAAATATCCCTAATATGGTGCTCAATTCAATATGTTTGTATGGCGGCATTTACTTATTTTATTGTTCATTATTAGTATTGTTAATTTCAATTAAGTAAATCTGATAGTCCAGTAAGTAGAGATGGGTCACTTTACAACCTAGATATTGCAGTTGAAATGGATAGCATCTTTGAGGACATGAACCACAAACCTGTAGTTTTTAGACCCTCTGATGAGATGGTGGAATATTTGATTGCTGAATGGCCTTTAAATATTATAAATCATATTGGGTAGTTAGTGCATCAAAAAGAAATTTTCAGACCATTTGTTTTCTTTGTCCAAACAAAGTACTACAATGTAAAAATTGTAGGTATGAGTTGAACAATGTGGATGGTTTTCAATATGCATTTTGTTGCTATGCATAAATAATATGTAATTTTTAGGACGTGTAAGCAGACACTGCATGAGAACCCTTCAATGTTCAAGTAATAAATTATGGGTAATTTCACGAGAACTACCAACAAACTGTTACATGATTTGCCAAAATATATCATAAACTATTTTTCTTGAAGAATACCACAAACTTTCAGAGCATTACCCATGAATTAAATACCATGAACATTTATAATACTTTAAATCTACCTTGAGTTTTTTAGATAAGTTACTAAACTACCACGAACATATACATTTTTGCCAGGTAACCACCATGGATTCGTCTATTATCTGAAATTCAGCCTAGAGTTTTCACTAGTGACAGTGTGTGGTATTTTTCTGTTGGTTTGACAAGTTTTGCCGAAAAATGTTATAAACTATTTTTCTTGAAGAATACCACAAACTTTCAGAGCATTACCCATGAATTAAATACCATGAACATTTGTATTTCTTTAAATCTACCTTGAGTTTTTGAGATAAGTTACTAAACTACCACGAACTTACACAGTTTTGTCAGGTAACCACCATGGATTCGTCTATTGTCTGAAATTCAGCCTAGAGTTTTCACTAGTGACAGTATGTGGTATTTTTCTGTTGGTTTGATAAGTCTGTGACTGTGATATTCTTCTCTGATAAATGTAGTCTATAGTAGCTTTGCACAAAATCCTTACATGGTAGCCATGTGAAGTTTACCCTAAAATCATCTGTCAATAGCCTGGGAGCTCTCAGAAGCATTTGTTTTTTACTACTAAATATTTGAGAGGTGTGTGCTCTAGTACTGTCAATAATTTTCTTCTGAAGTTTTTAATCGATTCATGAAGTTCCTCT